AATGGACCTGTGACCCACCAGCTGGAAATTACTGCTTCAGGGTATCTCTGTGACAAACAACTGAAACACATTGTAAAATGTGGTTACTGTTGTAAAACAGACATGGTCAGGTTGAAGCAACAAAAGTCTTTGGTTAGGTTTAGATAAAAGATCATGTTTTGGCCAAAATAAGTATGTTATGGTATGGATGTCTGTGCACGGCAACCGTACATAAATTCTGAAAATTATGAAATTATGTAGCCACAACATATGCCACTTTTACACTGCCAGATTTTCGGCGAATGTTGGGCCGTTTTGCCAGCAAGCTGCGAGCGTTTAGACACACAGAGCTGGATTGGTGAGTTGATCCGAGGCGCCCAATTTTCCACCTTGTAGGGTAGACATATTGGCGGAACCCTTTTAGTATAAACAGACCGAGGCGTCCTTCCGCAACGGGAGGGGCTGTTGAAGACTTGTGGGAGGAGCTGTTGATGACACCGCACGTGCGACCCACTGGCGGTGGATAAACAGGAAACAGCTGATAGCAGGAATTAGTGAGCAGCTAGTAGCAAGAGGGAAACACAAACCTGACAGACACTGTAAAGATGAGCAACTGTGGAGACAAGGAATTGCGTGCCCTCCTTGCCCTCGCAAACGAAGAGGCCGTTAACCGTCAGATGAAGGGGACGGTGAAGGATGGGCGGACTTACGAGAGAATCGCTGAAGGACTGACCAGCCGCGGCTTCCCTCCCACGTCACTGGTTACGTCACATGCTGAGCTTGTTTTTATACTGCCAATGCTAAAAAAAGACTGATTGGGCTTTCCTGCAAATCTGCACAATTCCTGTTTAAAAAGGGCTCATCTCAGGGCTGACACATAGAGACAGACAACCATTCACACTCACATTTACACCTACGGACAATTTAGAGTCACTAATTAACCTTCTTGTCTTTGGACTGTGGGAGGAAGCTGGAGTACCTGGAGAAAACCTACACTGTCACGGGGAAAACATGCAAACTCTGCCACCCTGGGGTTCGAACCCTCTTGCTGTGAGGCCACAATGCAAACCACTTCCGCTTCTAGAGATATAGTAAATGTAAATGAGGTGATTAGCTTCTTTTGTCATATCTGTAGTAGTTCGTTCATGAGTAAAACACAAACAAACAATGCCTTAATTGATTAACTGTCAGTGATGGAGGCTTTGCGGCTTTTCTGACGCCACTTTGTTGCTGAAGTAATTATGACACAGAGATATATGACACCCCTGAGTTGGAATAACAACCAGGAGGCTGATAGGAATATTTTTTCTCACTTGGCTGCTCTTAATAACAGTCTGTATAATATGACGTGAGCGACTCGGAGATACCATGTTGACTGGTAATAGTATTTCAGGCACCCTGACAAATGATGAAAAGCACCCGTGACTCTCAGCTTTCCACAACATCGTAACAGAAGCCGGCAGAGAGGAGGAGGAGGAGGAGGAGGAGGAGGAGAGGGGGGGAGGTACATCCATAGGGTAAAAGTAAAACCCCACTAGTACTGCCTCCCAAACAAAAATAGGAATCTCTCACATTCCCGCCGGTGGAGTTTCCAATTGTGGAGCTTTCAGGTTGCAGCAGAAATGCCACAGGCTATATATCACCTCCTCACAGGCTTTTATCTCTTTTATGAATCTGAGATGAATGAGCCACGTTTCTATTTATAACGTCCCGTGCATGCGCCTCACAAAGCTGTTTTGACACTGCACATTCCGATCTATTTATGTTGGGATTTTCTACAAGTTACAATCGGACATACCATTCCCACCGGCTAAAACAGGCACAACACACATCTCAAGTGTGTATAGGATCATATGGCTTCTGTATGTGATGTTGTACGCTCATCTGAATAAGACACTGGGCGATAAATTCAACCTGTGAAGCTCATTATTCAACATTGTAGTTTCTGGGTAACACTTTAATTCATCCCCAACCCTCAGTTCAATCACTTTAACCTCCAATAATTGATTTTTTGACCACTTGAGGGCGGTGGAAACGACCTGTAAACACAACGCTGACATATTATCTCCTTTTAAGCTGATATGGGGAGCTTGTTAGCAAAAAGTTGCTTATTTACACACCCAGCAGACACAGAACACCATTAGCATTCATTTGGAGTTGTGTTGGTGTCGACTTGATGAATGGAAGTCCTGCCTTCACTCTCCTTTTAGCTCTGTTTCTCTCGCAGCTCCTGAGGGAAATATCTGGCTCCTTAGCTGTTAAATGCTCCACTGTGTTCACCAGCTAGTTTCTAACTGTGTCTGTCTGATTGTTTGGTGCTGAGCAGGTAGTGTGAGGTGGGTTTGTCAGAGCTTTTTTACTGAAAACAGCTGCAAGATGAAGAGACTGAATCAGAACGATGAAGGTGCAGGCCATAAAACCAGAACCATGAACTCAAAGAGGCTAAAACCACAGAGTGTGTGTAGCCACCATGTCGGCACCTATTGGTTTGAGGACTACTGTTTCGACTACCTGGTTTCACACCAAAGTCGTCGAAATCTGGCTCTTGGGCAGTGACTTGTGGCGTCAGACGTCAAAAAAGCTGTCCTTTAACGTCGGTATGATACGTGGCCAGTCGCCATTATAGTTTAACTGCACTTGGTGGCGTCAGGGGGAAAAAAGGAAAAAGGAAAGTTAAGACGATGAAAGGTCAATTAGGGCAGGTGGGAGGGGTGGTGGATGGGTCCAACAAACACTGACCTTCACCAAGGACAGCGGCGTTCGTGTCCCGAAAGATTATAAAGCCAAACCCTGTTCTTTTTTCCTAAACCCAACCACGTGCGTTAGTTGTTGGGGGAAAAAAAACGTAAATGTGCGTTGTTGTACTGCGTTTAATTTTGAAAGAGACTGTACGTAAATGTTAAATTTCCTGTGACAACAGAAGTGTATTTTGAAAGAAGACAATGCATGTAAAAGGCAGAACTTGACACGACGTCCCAGACAATGAAACTTCATTATGCAGCGTCCGTCACGTGATGCCCTGCAGTCAAAAAGACATTATCCTATTCACTCGCATGGTGAAAAGATGTCTGTAAATCAGTGGATACATTTTTTTGAGCATCACATCTCCTGCAAAATGACTCATGTCACTAACAGGATTTGATCCATTCAGTCTGATAACACTTTGAGAGAAGAGCAGCACGATTAAATCATTTTAGCCTCATTAAAGTTAGCACAGTGCCGAACCGGAAGTTAGCCGTTTGACTTAGCTGCTTATCGTTAGTTGCGTTAGTCAAACCATTTTGGCTTCATGCACCACTGAGCAACTCTCATAGGAATGAACAAGCCCTGCGGTCAATGCTGTATCCAGTTCTTTTACTACATCCATGGGTCAGACAAAACCAAACTTTTATCCAGAAGACCACAGTTCCTGTCCAGAGTGAAAAAAAGAGTCCAAGATGTTTTAACATAATGTTATACAATTTAGGCCTATGTACGTATGTGATATGTATGTGTCACATTAAGTTATTTAACAAACCTTATGATATAAAACCAGACAAGGATTTTTCTCTCAACCTAACCAAGTAGTTGTGTTGCCAAAACCTAACCGTGACCGTGTGTAATGTGTGTGGACAGGGCATACGCAAATGACGACTCAAAGATTTTGTTTTCCAGCATTTATTCACTCCTGCAGAAGACAATATGACATATTAACTGCCTGCTGGACACCTGTAAACACACAGGAAAAACATTTTACACCAGAAATTTTACACCATAAGTCTACAAAACTCATATTAGCACACACAACAAAACAAAACAGCTGCTAACGTGACAATAAAAACGGTAAACAATATGCACCAAAGATAACAACATAAACTGCTCAATTTACAGAGTAAATTTTAAAGTAGCACAGCAGCATTTTTCAATACGACTTTACCCAGCAATGCACAACAGCACTGTGAGGGGCAGACAGAGCGAGCTACGGAAACCCAGGAGGTACAGAAGAGGCGATGTGCAACAAGTTTATTCCCATAGGAAACATTAAAAATAACACTAAATAAAAATAACTCATAGAGATAAAACGAACAAACGTAACAAATATTTTAAATGATAAATAAAATTTACAAATATAGTTTAACAACAATAAATAATTACATGCACTTTTAACTCTTCAGTTCATCAGTATTTGACGACCCTGGGGGGAAAACAGATCTGTCATGTCTTCATACATTCTGGCTAAAACATTATATTATAAACACAATAATCGCCACACGTAAGTCCTTCAACATACTCATTTGAACCATTGTTAATATAGAGACATTGATTATAGCCGCTTTCTAACAGAGCATACCGTATTAAGTGTAATTGGTTTGTAAATAATGTTTATTGCTCATAATTTTTTAAATAATATATCACAGATAAGTAATAATCACATATTAATAAAGACAATTTTGACTTTGACAGGTTGTTTAAAAATCCATTTGCCTGGTGCATATCCTCCTGCAGCATAAAATTTGTCCTTCAGAAACTCTGGATATGAGCTTCAGGGCATGTGAATCAAAACACATTTATCTATGAATCATTTATCATTTAAATATTAAAAAGCTAGAGCCCAATGAACTTTTATAAACGACCCTCCAGCAGTTGTGACGGCACACTCAGTGACCTTTAAGTAAGGTTATGCTGCAGGAGGATGTACAGCAGACACAATAAAAAGGTTATTCTTTCAAATGGGACACACTGATCTTAACAGGCGTTAGTTATAAACCCCATTATGGAGTGTTTCCTGTTCCAAAGTGGTGCCAATGACTCCATGTCCATTAACATACAGTTTTGTTAACTCTGGAACAACAGTATTATGTCTTTACTTTCTCAGTGGCAGAGCTGGAAAATATATCTGAACTGCCATTTTATCCAGATACAGATATGTGAAGCACCTGTCATGAAACCTGAGGTGACATTTCCATAGCTCCTGAAGACATTAATGTATATTTATTTCCTGCACACAGTCAGTAGGTTGTACGAAGCCATTGAAAAAAAATGCTTGATGCAGTGTGACAGCCAAAGTGTTGGGTAGAGTTTCACATTCTATATATAAGCCTGGTGACTTGTGTCCCTGCTGCTCTGTTTAAATGCCAGAGTCACACTGTCAAAACACAGAGAGAGGGGCGCAACAATATGATGGACCTTTTTGAGACCAACCCTTATCTTTTCAATGATCTGCGCTATCTGGAAGAAGGGGATCATGGACCACTGCAGCACCTGGACATGTCCGGGGTGTCTCCTCTGTACAACGGCAACGACAGCCCGCTGTCACCGGGCCAGGATAATGTTCCGTCCGAGACCGGGGGGGAGAGCAGCGGGGAGGAGCACGTCCTCGCGCCGCCGGGTCTCCGGGCGCACTGCGACGGCCAGTGCCTCATGTGGGCCTGCAAGATCTGCAAGAGGAAGTCGGCGCCCACGGACAGACGCAAGGCCGCCACGCTCAGGGAGAGGAGGAGGCTCAAGAAGATTAACGAGGCCTTCGACGCGCTGAAGAGGAAGACCGTGGCCAACCCCAACCAGAGGCTACCCAAGGTGGAGATTTTACGCAGCGCCATCAGCTACATAGAGAGGTTACAGGACCTGCTGCAGACGCTGGACGAGCAGGAGAAAAACGGATCATGCCACAACTTAAAAGAACAAAGTGTAAGATATAAAAAGAGTCAATGTGGCTGTGATATTCAGATGAATTTATAATGACATCATGACCTTTTATTCCCTGGTGCATCTATTACATCCCTAAAATATTCCTGCATAGACTTGTAAGTTGTCTGTGTTGCTTTTAATTATTTCTAATTATTTATTTAACCTTTATTTAACCAAAAAGTCCCACTGACATTGAACAACACAAAAGAGCTAGAGCTGCAACAATTAGCCAATTAACTGATTAGTCGATGGGAAGTAAATTATTTGCTGAATATTTTGACAGTTGATAAATTGTTTAAATCATTTTTCATGCAAAAATGTCAAACATTTGCTTCTTAAATATGAGAATTTACTGCTTTTCTTTGACATTTATGATACTAAATGATGAGGTCTTTTGGTTTAAGACTGTTGGTTGCACAAAAGAAGCAGGTTGAATATATCATTTTGGGTTGTGGGAACTTGTGATTGCATTTTTCTTTTTTTTTTTTTTTACAATTATTTTAGACTTTTAGATTAATCAATTTATCATGAAAATAATCAACAGATTTATTGATATTGAAAATAATCATTAATTTCAGCCCAAAGTTGTGTTTTTATGCCTGTCAAAAATATAAGGCCTGTTTCTGGGTTAGCCAACACACTTTTTTCAGTGTGCTAATTGTCAATTTGATCAAATATACTTATAGTTCTCCATGAGATTGCATATTAACAGACAAAAAACACGTGTGGATAACTTGTGCTGTGTGTTGTTACAGGTGGCCAGTCATGAGTACCACTGGAAAAAGTCCTCAGAGAGCTGGCCGACCTCTGCCGACCATTCCACTGCAGCAATGACAAACCAGAGAGAAGGTACCGCTGTCAAACTCACAGGCTAAACAAAACAATGGACGTAGCCACTGTGATGTCACCCACTGGTTTGTGGACTCCGGTTTTGAGTTTGGCATTTTGGCAGCCGCCATCTTGGATTTATAGAGCCATAAGTGACCAAATTTGGACTACAGGGTGGAGATAACCCTAATGCTAGCTTGGTTAGCACAGTGCATTTACAGTTATGGTTATGGTTAATGGATAATACTAATGCTCATTTTCGCTAAATTAAAAAAAAAAAATTAAAAAGCATAAAACTATTAAAACAAAATGTATGTACTGGAAAACTGGACTCCCAAAAAGATGTAGATGACACTAACAATAGCTGCTAGCTTGGTTAGCATGATTCATTTACTGCTGTGGTTAACTATGATAATGCGAATGCTAATTTTTGCAAGTGAGAAAAAAAAAGGCTCAAAACTAATAAAACAAAATGTACTTGCTGAGAAAACTGGATATCCGACTCCTTAGATGGTGGCAATAACCCTAACAACAGACAGCTGCTAGCTTGGTTAGCATGGTTCATTTACAGCTATGATTAACTGAGATAATGCTGATGCTAATTTTTGCTTGCAAGAAAACAGGGTTTCAAACTATTAAAACAGAATGTTCATGTGGAAAAACTGGATATCCAGTTCTTTAGAGGGTGGCGATAAGCCTAACAATAGTAGCTAGCTTGGTTAGCATGGTTCTTTTACTGCTTTGGTTAACTATGATAATTTTTACTAGCAAAGAAAAAAGAAGATAAAACATACATTAACTGTGACAGTGCCAATGCTAATTTTTACTAGCAAGAAAAAAAGATATAAAACAGATGTTAACTGTGACAATGCTAATGCTAATTATTATATAATTTTATTGCAATACTCAGTATATCACAAAACATTAGAAATCGCAGTAATATTGTTTAGTGACCTAAGTATCGTGATAATATCATATGTGATTCCCACCCCTATTTATGTCTGCTGTAAAGTTTGTCATTTTAACATGGGGGTCTATTGGGCCTGACTCGCTGTTGAGTCAGCCTCAAGTGGCCATTCAGGGAACTGCAGTTTTGGACTTTTTCAGTCCTGGAGGTTGCCGCTTGGTCAAACTTCTCTTATAAATCAGCAATAAATAAATAAATAAGTTCATTTCCTTTGTTTCCAGGAACCAGTGAGTCCTCTGCGTCCACCAGCCTCCTGCGTCTCTCCTCCATCGTGGACAGCATCACCACCGAAGACAAAGTCAACTTCAGCGAAGACGTCTCCGAAAACTGAAACATTAGCGAAGACCTCAACTGGACGACAAATTTTCAAATTTCCATGATTTATCCCTAAATTATTTCCACTATATTCAGCCATTCTGGCTTCTGTTTGTTATGCAGCCTTCATTTGTACATCAGAAGCAACTAATTTGTACATATTTTATAATAATGTGATGTTTAGATTTATTTATTTTGTATTCAGGAGCAGATAAACTCTTTTGAGAAAGCTGATATTGTATTTAAATATTTGTACATAACTGACCAAGGCGGTAAATAAAACTTTTGCAATACTCTGAAGCATTGTAGTCCTCATTCTTTGAGGGCATTGGAATATCGAAAGTAACAATCATCATGAAAAAATGATATTTAAAGTCTCTCCAGAGGCACAAATGCTGGTTCAAACCTTTTCTACAAATAAAAGGTTACTCTAGCCCTCACTGTATCTCTGTGTTTTACACCCAAAGAGAAAAAGCCCATTACCAGTTCAAGGTCTACCAGTTCCCCCAGCATTCACGGCTATTAGACGTCCATAAAATCTGTTTAAACTGGGAGAGTTTGCTGCCGGGCTGCTTCTCTTTGTTCCGACTGACCTCCAGCAGGACTGATCCCACAACAGTAACTCGAGTCCCCTCCAAAACACAGCATGCCTCTGCTCTCCTATCAGATGTTGGAGACATGGAAACTTGGGCTGCAGGCTGGTGAGTGCAAAGCCCACTGGGATAATGAAGGTATCCGAGCCATTAGGTCTTAATTCATCATCACTTGCTTTGTCATCACATGGAGAAGTGTTTACATGCGAGCTATTAAAATGCGTGACGAGATGCTAACGGCATGGAAATCCATTTAGTCTTGTTTGTCGTGTATTGACATGAGAGAGGGGGGGCGTTTGTTGATGATGTCGGGGTGTGCTGGTCTCCCTCAGATCTCTGTGGACGACTCACAGCCTTGGTTGACCTTTGGGACTCTGAGTCATCTCTCAGGCCTGTAGACACACATGTGGCCATGCAAAGTGTCACACACGTGTGTCAGGTTTATCAGAAGCTCAAGACATCAATGTAACATCCAATATGTGGAAGGCAAAGCTATGCCAGAAAATTGGGGAGCGTTCAGTCGGAAGGTCACTACCTTGTCTGTGTTTAAGTGTCTGTGAAGTGTGTTGAGTTGCTCTACAGAACAATTTAGGGACTTTTCTAGCACAGCTGCAAAACTTCGTATGATGTGATACATCAACCCAATCACCACAAAAAAATGTTGCTAAGCCCCGCCCCTTTGTGATGGTCCGACAAGCTGTTAGAGTAAGCATGGAGCCCACACTGTAACTAACTGCACTCCTTGAAAAAGTATTATAACATTTTTGGAAAAGGGAAGTGATTCCAGAGAGAAGCAGACAGAGGGGTCTACAGTCTGTGTTTGAAGGATATATCCAGGATGTCAAACTGACTCAGCAGCAACAACAGGTTAAAAAGACAAAGATAGTTAGAAGCTAAAGCCGAACTATAGGCTACAGATCACAGTGTAAAAGTGAACCACCACATCACTGCTGATCGCCACACAAGACAATGAATATAAAGGGAAACTTTGCTGATATTGAACCAGCTGTGTGGCATCGCAGTGTGTGCAGATGAACGTGTTTGGCTTCACTGGTTCCTGTACAGCAGGGTCGGTCTTTCCCTGTTACAATCATTAAAAAGCAAAAGCAGCATGTGTATACATTCAGTAGGCTATATCTTCAGTAGCTAGCTAGCTAACCCTACATTTTTCAGGGTTTGATTTTGGTTTTGGAACAGGGAAGAAACGTATATCTTTTTCCAACCTCTCCAGGTAACGAGTATCATTAATACATGACGTGCCCCAGGCACAACATTTAGCTCCAAATCCACAAAACCAGCCTGAAAATGACGGAAATCTGAAACTATTGAATTAGAGTCAATGGAGCACAGCTGGTCTGAGGGTTACTGGTTCGAATCCACTGGCCAGCTGCGGCCTTCTGTGTGGAGTTTGCATGTTCTCCCCGTGTCAGCGTGGGTTTTCTCCGCGTACTCCAGCTTCCTCCCACAGTCCAAAGACATGCAAGTTAATTGGTGACTCTAAATTGTCCGTAGGTGTGAATGTGAGTGTGAATGGTTGTCTGTCTCTATGTGTCAGCCCTGTGATAGTCTGGTGACCTGCACAGATGTACCCCCATCCTCCATGTGGCCCTGTTCCTGGATAAGCAGTTACGGAAAATGAATCAATGAATGAATATTGAAAGTATTCATAAAGTAGTCAGAATCCTACTTGACCAACTATAACATTAAAGGACGCGATAAGATTTTTTGGAGTGTGGTATTACCTACAGTAGATGGCAACTGGCACACTCCCAGTTTGGAGAAGCAGGCAGGAGTACCGCCACAGAAACTCAGCAATGTACTGCTGTGGATGGGGTAGCAACAAAATGTATCTGAACCACTTAAAAAAAATCAATATCAACTTCAGTCTAAGCTATGTTTAGAATATTTTCACAGCTCTACTTGCCATCAGACAATCGAAAGTGAAATTTATCTATGCTCTCTTGAAAGCCAGACTCCACTGACAACAACAATAATTTTACCTTGCAAAATCGAGCAGTTGCTGATGTACCACTGCCTCAATAAGCTAGTTAGTTCGTGTCATTGGGTGACTTTAGAGTTTTAAATGGTTCGTTTGGATTCAGCAGAGTCACAGGACATCACAAACAAACTAACTAATAGTGGCAGCAGTAGACAAGCAGCTCCCGTGTACTGTGTGGTAAAATTACTAGTTTTGTCAGTGGAGTCTGGTGGCTTTCACGAGAGCAATATAACGACTTGGGTTCTCCTTTAGAAATCACTGTCTGACAGCAAAGTAAAGCTGCTTCTCCAAACTGGGCGAATGCCAACCATCTTTTACTGTAGGTAACATAGTGTAAAAAATCTGAACCATCCCTTTAAAATGCTGCTTAAGTGCTTAAGTATCACGACTAATGATATGAAGTATAAATTATATGTGGGGCCTTTAAGTATAATTACAAAGCACCTTTTACTTTTCATACTTTGGTAACTTTTACTTAAAATATTTTGGAAATTTGAAGTAATTTAAAGTATTTAATTTGAATGCAGGACTTGTCATTGATTATTGTTAGACATTTGTACTTTTATTTAAGTTAACAATTTAAATACTTGTTCCTCCAGGGAGCTGAACTAAAAGCTTGAAAACACAACCACCATCTTTTACCAAACATCCTGTTTTCTGCAGCAAGCAGCCAGAAACGTGATATCCCTAAACAGTAATGTGATTTTAATGGCCTCCTGCCCACTCACTCTATCTGATAGCTACTTCACTTCATTTCGCAGCTCCATGGGTATCTGCTAATTTAATGTCTGTTTGGTAATGACTGCGTTTAACCTAAATTGTAGACCTCACATCAACACTCACAGTTTGTCCTGTTTGGTTCATCGTGAGTACGTATCACTGTGCTAGATTTAAATCTTTTCTTGACACGCTGCATATAAACCTGCATTTTGATGTAAAAGCTCCAGCTGTGTTTCTAACTACACTTTCTGATTCTAATGTTCGCTTCATCTCCACACAAAGACTCAGCCCTGACTTTCTCTTGTCTAACTTTACAGGGATTCTGGTGTTACTGATGACACCATATAATTCTCATTTGGCTGTGAAGGCAGTGTTTTAAAAGTTGAAGCTGATGAAAGGCGAGCAGTTACAGGAGGGGGGGGTAAGCCTGCAGGGCTGAATGCTCTGATTTATCCAGACTTTCCTTGAATATGCTCCTAGGAGAAGGATTCAGTGCAGCAGGGCTGGCAGCGCACCTCTTTCCTGCTGCCAAACAAATGCTGTTGCCACTCAAAATGTTTTTTTCTTTTTTTTGTTTCACTAATTCTTGAGGGGGAAAGGGAAATGGACTTTCTGTCTGGGGGAAAGGAGCCTTCAACAGAAACCACTGAGCTTTAAAAAGAGTGTTTTTCCTTTCATTAAACTTAATTTACTCACATAACAGACTTTCTCTTTGAGGAACCTCTGAAAAAATGGATTTTTTAAATGTAGTTATAGTAGCAGAGAAAATCTTTAAATTCCAATTTCACCACCAGTGAAATTAGGCAAAAACATGATTTAAAAGTAGCTTTAATTTTGGTGCTTTTTGCTGTTTTTGTAAGAGTCTAAGTGATAAATTGCCTCTCAGTCAGGGGGCTTGTGTTGCACCAAACAAGCAGCATATTAAGTCAAAGCATGAGGCAGTTTGGAAGAAATAAGGGTTTCAGACGTGAGGGAGATGGACATAAAAGATCACCTCCTGCCCCTCACTTAACTCTGTCTCTGACCCTTGAGAACAACAGAAAAGCAAACCCAAAGAGTTCCCAAGAGAGCAGCCAGAGCGCACAGATCACAGCGCCGGCCTGCGCTCAACCACTGCGCCAACCCTCCCCAAAACAACACGTGCTGCGCCAATCTAACTCCAGCCTCAATTAAATGTCGCTTGATCCCAGGTTTTCCCATTGTCGACGTTGTTCTCAGCCCCAACAGCCTTTGATCTTCCCAGCAGCTACAAGCCGATGTCTTCTTCAGCTGTGCCTAATCCAAACTCCACCGGCAGCAGCAGGTACTGTTGTTTTCTTAGGTGCGCGGTGTTCCCAGAGAAGCAGGCTCACCAAACGCTTTGACACATTGTGAGAAATATCCGCATTGTATCCTTGTAAGCTGTCAACAGCATAATTACCCCAAACTAGTCAGCTCGTCAGGGTCGAACTGCAAAAAGCCTCCATTCAGTCTGACAGTTAAAGTTCACTCCAGAGCAGCGCACAGTGTCAGTGTCTTTATTTGTCTTGTAAACAGAATGAAGACGTTTGAAAAAAAGCAGTGATGGAAGTAAAAGCAGCAACACCACAGTGCAATACTTGTTTGTTTTTCTTACACCTAAAATTCCTGCATTCAAAATTTTACCCAAGTATTAAAACACACACAGATGTACCAATTATATAAAATGGCTCCATGAGGGATGATAAATACTGCAATCAGAAGTAGAAATGTTTTTATCACCAAATAACTTTGCATTTACAAAGAATTTGACTTGGAGATATGGTGCATCATGTTAAACACCAGACATAATGTAAAATAAAATCAAGAAAATTGACAATTTAATATGAAAATATATGTATATATGTGTAATATGTAAATATTTTAAGTTATTAAGTGTACAGCTGTGCAGGATGTCCAAGTTACTGTCCAGGGGATGTAAAGCTCACAGTGTAATACAGATGCTAAAATATGTGCAAGAGGAGTGATAGTAATAACTGTTGGATTATGATTAGTGATGCAAACGTGTAAGCATCAGTAATGTGGCTGGAGCTCATTTTAACTGCTTTACTGCCAGTAACTTAATCTATACTATTACTGATAATAATTTATTGGTTGTAATTTTGTTCTATTTTGTTTTATTAATGTCAATGTGTGAAGCATATCAGCAGCTGTCAGATGTCAGCAGTGTAGTGGAGTGGAAGTATGAAGGAGCATAACGTGGAAATACTCAAGTTAAGAACAAGTGCCTTACGATTACGAACCAAACAAAACACAAAACAACCAAACAAGACACAAAGCAACAACAAACAGATACTAAACAACCAAAAAGGACACAAAACAACCAAAAAAGACACAAAACAACCAAAAAAAGATACAAAACAACCAATAAAGATACAAAACAACCAAAAAAAGACACAAAACAACCAAAAAAGATACAAAACAACCAAACAAGACACAAAACAACCAAAAAAAGACACAAAACAACCAATAAAGATACAAAACAACCAAAAAAAGACACAAAACCAAAAAAAGATAAAAAACAACTAAACAAGACACAAAACAACCAAAAAAAGAACAAAACAACCAAAAAGAGACACAGAACGACCAAACAAGACACAATAGGACCCAAAAAGTCACAAAATTACCACAAACAGACACAAAGTCACTACATAGAGACACAAAACAACTGAAGTGAGACACAAGAAGGACAAAAAAAGACACAAAATTGCCGCAAATAGAAACACAGCAACCACAGAGTGACACATAACAATTAACAAAGGCACAAAATTACCACAGAGCCTCATAACAACCACAAAGAAACACAGAACAAACAACACAAACACACAAAATTACCACAAACAGACAACACGACTACAACATGAATTAAAACACCAACAAAAAAGGGGAGATGGTGGGGCCTTCTGTGTGTCTGTACCCAGGGGCCTGTTGTCCCATAATCTGTCCATGAGTAAATGTACTTAGTTACTTTCCACCATTTGAAAAATGCTGTAAGGTCTAAGATGAGATGGTTTGATTTGCACTGTAAGAAAATGTGAATTATTTTTTGAATTCTGTTTAAAAAAGAGAAACAAAAGTCCTGCTGATATTTTCTGCCCTATAAACAACTTTGATTGTTTAAAGCTCCCACACCATCAGTCCTCTGCTGGAACACAAACTCCAGCACCATAATGACCATCTGTTATGTGCTGAATGGAAGTGCTCGACTTGTGTCAATAACTTTTAACGGTTAAAATTTGGTCCTTGGAAGGCAAACTGGCGTGAGGGAATTGCAGCGGCGGTGTCAGTTGTGTAATTACAGTTTTAATGAGCTTTGGCAAACAGGGATCACCTCATTCGCAGCACCTTCGGTGATGAGCTCGGGGTGTTTAGAGGGTGCTTACCGCTGTCATGCGAATTCACAGGGCTTGAAATGTTACACCTTCCTTTGCAGCTGGGCTGCATCTGCAACGCTGTTGTCTCCACCGTAAAAATTGGCCCTGCATTCTCCTACAAGTGGTCGCCCTCTTTTTCTGCACAGTTTGACCAAACAAAACGCTCTCTTTCATATTTACGTCTTCATAGCAGAGTGGCACATTCACTGTCAGCTTTGACGTGACGCCCGGAGGCCGGGTGCAGATAAATCATGCAAAATGAAGCGCTTGTGACGACTCAGAAACAGGTCATGTGCTGGTTAAAGCTGCAAGCTCTCAGTGCAGAAACATTCCCAAGCGTTGTATTCATCGCGGCCTTGTAGTAGGAGAAGGAGGAGAGTGGTGATGAGTAGGAAAACACCAGTAAGTGCAGATGTGGGAAACTCTGCAGGGTACTGGGGGGTGAGAGGCAGTGGGTTGGGATGGGGCAGGGAGGGAGCTGAGCTAACCCCAGCCTGCCTTCTGGCTGGGCCAATGGGCCATGGTAATTAGATCTGGCCAATGTGGGCCCTGGGCTCCGGCCTGGGGGCATATAAGGGGGGCCCGGGGCAACAGACCCCTCATATCACTCAGAGGTCTCCTCTCTACCCTCATTCCTCTGCGTCCATCTCCTGAGTCCACTCAGACTCCCCTCTCCAGCCAACATGGACGTCTTCTCACCATCCCAGGTCTACTACGACAGAGCGTGCGCTTCGTCCCCGGACAGCCTTGAGTTCGGCCCCGGTGTGGAGCTGGACGGCTCCGAGGAGGACGAGCATGTGAGGGTACCCGGGGCCCCTCACCAGCCGGGACACTGCCTCCAATGGGCCTGCAAGGCCTGCAAGCGCAAGTCCAACTTCGTGGACCGCAGACGCGCCGCCACCATGCGCGAGCGCCGGCGGCTGAAGAAGGTCAACCACGCTTTTGAGGCTCTGAGGCGCTGCACCTCAGCCAACCCCAGCCAGCGCCTGCCCAAGGTGGAGATCCTGCGCAACGCCATCCAGTACATCGAGAGCCTGCAGGAGCTGCTACGAGAGCAGGTGGAAAACTACTACGGCCTTCCTGGGGAGAGCAGCTCGGAGCCCGGGAGCCCGCTGTCCAGCTGCTCTGACGGCATGGTAAGACCCACATGTTTACTCTCATGCAACATCTGGTTGTAGCAGAGTTGTTCTACATTACAACTGCATGCTAGACGGAGCTTCATCTCTTAGAACGTTGCCTGAAAAGGCCTTTATGGTGACCACAGTATTTCTCATTCCCTTGTAGAGCATTTCATTTCAAAGTAGAGCCTGGATTTCCAATTTAGAAACCTATTAATCAAATAAGCTTGTTTTGCCCCAAGACCTCAATTACCATGCTCCTCCATGCATGTCATACCCTCCCATAATACCAAAATCTATTCTGTAGTCGTACAAGCATCTCTGCGTGTGACGCCTGTTATGAAAGGTCAGGTTGAATTAGTTGTTCTCGACAACACTCTGAAGGTGACGGCGTATCAGCTAATACGAAAAGAACTTATCATGCCGGATGGAGTAATGGCTTTCCCACCACCGGACACTTTATAGCCCTAATAAACCGAGCTAAATCCACCTTACTGAAGTCTGGCAGGGGGAAAAAAACTGGGCGCTTTTCTGCATTCCATCCTGACTGCATGTTCTGCACCGCTGCCAGGATTTTCTGCAGATTTACTAGGAGAAAGTGTCATCTTGCACAAACTGGTGTTGCTTCCACTGATACAATCGATTCGGCACGCTCGGAGCTGGGGCAGAGGAAGGGGAGCGCATATACTGCCACTTTGGCTTTAAGGTGGATGTGAAATAAAGAAGCCCATAACTGTGGAATTCAGGATTTATTAGCCTGTCCAGAAGACATCGTGAAGGGCATCGCTTGTTTTTTTGTTGTGTACTTCTTTCCCAGATATATATTTATGCAAACACATTTTTTTTTTTTTTCAAGTGCAAGAATTCAAGGGTAAATTCTCATTTCCTTGCAGGCTGACAGCAACAGTCCGGTGTGGCAACATCTGAATGCAAACTACAGCGGCGGATATTCATATGCGAAGAACGGTGAGACCTTTGGACGGCAACAGCAGCCTGATATGAATATGACATGCCAGTAAAATCCTAATAGCCGCTTTATTTCCGTGTTCTAGTGCACCTCTGGGAGTGCGTTATAAAACACTGATAAAGTTCTTCATTGTGAGTTGTTGTGCGTTTTAATAAACACACGTCCTCTGTCTTCCTCTTATCAGAGAGTTTAGGCGATAAGGCGCCCGGAGCCTCCAGCCTGGAGTGTCTCTCCAGCATCGTGGACCGCCTCTCCTCGGTGGACACCAGCTGCGGCGGGCCGGCAGCTCTGAGAGACATGGCCACCTTCTCCCCCAGCAGCTCCGACTCGCAGCCCTGCACGCCGGAGAGCCCCGGGTCCAGGCCCGTCTACCACGTCCTGTGAGGGGGGACTTTGACGTGGATATATTGCCACAGGCCTGCTTTTACCGAACGCCAGCTGCATTTGCAACAAGAGATAAGAACTAGACTCAGCTGCATGCGAGGACCTGCGGCGAACAGCTTTAATATTGTACATGAGAATGTAAATATGTAATGTAAATGCCCATTTATTCTATACATGCTATTATACCCAGTGAGACATATTTAATTATGACAGTTAATGTAATGTTGCATTATTCCAACATGAAGTTGTATTTAAGCTGTTTTAATTTCTACATGTTGTCATGAAACATTAAATCCTTTACTGTTTTCTAAAGTTTCTTCTTCTTCTGTTTCTTTGTGCCTCCAGATATTAGTCATCACCTCAACGTAGGAGGTCTAATTAGCTACAACAGTGGAGAAATGAACCAAAATAGTCACGTCAGGTTGATTCTGTCAGCAACATGTCAGAAAACCACAACAAACTGATGCCAGCTAACACTGTCGGTGCATTTTTACAGGGTTTTTGTAAAGAATAAAACAAACACATTATCTAATGGTGAGAGCAGCTGATGTCATTACACCGCTGATTAGTCAGAGTTTAGAGGGTTTGCAACTGTTTAAAGATGCATCATCTGCTTTTAACACCGCAGCTGATCATTTGAGGAAGCAGATTGTTGTGTTTGCTTGCCTATAAATCTTTAAAAAGGTGGTTTTATTAAAATAGCAGGGCAGGTTATTCATCATGTGACAGCACAGTGTGGACAGTCTCCTGTTAACAAGGTGAGCACGTCACATTATTGGGAACTCATAGAGGTCAGCTGATGACATTAATCATGTGACACTGCTGTGATCGCTCATGTGGCCCACTGCGAATGAGTCATTAGAGCCAGCGGATCTTTCTGTAGGTGACATAGGAGGAGGCCACCTAGAGCGCCACCCAGAGGTGCTCCAGAATTTCTTCTTCTTCTTTTTTTTTTTTTTTTACATTCAAAAAAATCTAAGACAGGGGAAATGGTGGAGAGTGTGTAGAGGGCATCAGGGAAAGAAAACGAAAATGCAAAAGCTGTTCAGGGCGCAGAACAAAAACCAGAAGAAGATAGAATTAGCTAAGTTGTTTATTTGTGTTGATTTCTCATCAGCTCTTGTTCTAGTTACTAAAAAATAAATAAATAAATAAATAAAAAAGCAAATAATAATGATAACAATAATAATTGTTGTTGTTATTTTTATTAGCCTATTATATAGTATGGGGCTGCCTAGGGCATTGAATGTGCTGGGTCTGCCACTGTTTGGTATTTATTATTGGTAAAGTTGTTCATTTTTATTAGGCTCTTAAGATAAGATAAAATAAGATAAGATAAGATAAGACACGCCTTTATTGATCCCACAATTGAGAAATTCCAGTGTTACAGCAGTCAAGGAGTCAGATTCAAGATTTCAAAAATTAAAAATTAAAAATTAAAAACTTAAAAAACTAGGCATGCAAATAAAGTACAAAAAAAAACAAAAAACAGCAACAAATAATAATAGTAAAAATAATAATAATAATTCTTAGTAATATAACAATACTATTAATAAAACTATAATAATGGAAATAATAATAATTAAATAATAATAATAATAACTCTTGTTAGTAATATAACAATATAACAATACAATTCATAAAAATAGAATAATGAAAATAATAATA